GCAGCGTTCAAACTTCGAGGTGTGATCTTAGGGAAGTAACAGCGTGTGTCTCCGCAAAGTGTAATTCTTTGCAAGTATGCCATGTCATCATTTCATTTCCATGATCCGCAAAGGTTTGGCACATCATCGAAGTAGGTGTCATGAAATGTTCCATAGGGTGACTGTTTCAGTTTGTTGTGCCATGAGTTCTGGAGGGGACAAGGAAATGTCCTTGGGCTTAAGTTTAATCCAGACATACCAATGAAGAGTTCTACAAAAGTAAAATTCTATGAGTTCTGTAAAAGTTAAAATTCTACGAATTAACATGAATTCATGAATTCTGTCCATGTTAAAATCGAATTTTAACACAGATAGAAATGGGGAAAAAAGAATCGAGGAAAACATAAGCTTCTGTGTGGCAGCTGGTTCTCTTTGGGATTCTTTGGTTCACAGGTGCGCTACTGTACCCTTGGCCTCTGTTGAACTAGGCTATTCCCTCTGCAGGTCTTCATCGCGTTGGTGGGTACTGGCTCCAGAGTCTCAATTTCTCCTTCTCACAAGAACACCGTCCTACAGGCTGAAGGACCCACCTCACTCCATGAGGACCCTTCTGTAACGTCATATCTGCCGTGGCTTGATAACAGTTAATCCCTGCCAAACCACATGTTGGAATATACTTCCCACCTCGGGACATTACAGGGTGAAGCCATTGTGACATACTAGGGCTCAACCCTCGGAAGAGATTAATGCATTCCTCCTATTAACAGATTAATCGATTATTAGCTTAGTGATTTATCTCAGAAATAGAACTGTTGTAAAGACCAGCTGGGTTAGGTCACCACACACACACACACACACACACACACACACACACACACATGCACCTTATCTCTGCCTTTGGAGTCCTATCAAATAGGGACTCCCAACCTTCAGTTTCTAGACCCGTGAGCCAATATACATATTTTCACTCCTGTATGTTGCTTTATTCTTAGCAACAGCAAACAGAATGAGTCAGAGGTCCAGCACACTCCGGCATGAACTAGCTGAAATCTAACTAGTTACACACCCAACAACTCCGTTTCCAAACAGGTCACGTTTGAGGTTCTAGAAATGACATCGATTTCTCCTGAGTGGTGGTAGTGAGGCAATATTGAACTCAACGCACGCGGCTTCTGGAAAATTAGATATGGCCTTCGCATTCATCTCACAGGAACCAAAGAACTAGGGGCTGGAGATTTAGCTCAGCGGCATAAGCACCTGCCTTGCAAGCAGGCGGTCGTGAGTTCGATCCCTGGTACCAATAAAAAATAAAAAGAATCGAAGAACTGGAGCCAAGATTGTCAGCAATGTTCTCCTTTCCTTCCTGTCTCAAACAAGGACCCACAATGAATGCCAGGATCACATGCAGGTATTTGTTTTCTGGACAACACTCCTGTCCAATGTTTTGTCCAACTTTCTAGGAACAGGTTGTGTTTGGGAAAAGACTGTCTTGCCCATTACAAAGAAAAGGCTCTGCTGGTATCACGATCAGAGCTAGAGCTGGAATCATTCCTGCTGCTATTCCAAAAGCTATGCCATAGCTAAGGCCTCCCACATGGTTAAAGGCAACCTGGGGCAAGCATCCCTCATTAGCAGGGTCAGCAGGGTAGGACTCCATGAAGTCCACTACAGAGTGCTTGAGGGCGCAATCCCAGTAGGCAGCCAGTTGTACACAACTGTGTGTCCTCTGTTCAACTAAACATTAACACTATAAGGCAAAAGCTATATAAGTAACTGTTATATTGTATTATTTATAGCATGACCATGAGGAAGAATAAAAGCCTGCCCATGTTGGGTAGAGGCCTACCAACATTCTACACACAGGCAATAGTGCCATTTCTTTTACAGGGATGTGCCATCCACAGTAGCTGAAATATTGCATATGTAACCCTTAGATGTGGAGGTCTAAATGCCCCTGCTTCATTAACATTTATTAGAGAGAAAAATATTCTCACATTCTACAGCAGACCAGAGTGATTATAGATAACAAAAATGGTATTTTATGGGCACTGGAGGAGAGTTCAAAGGTCCCCAACATAAAGCAATAGTAAATGTTCAAAGAGCTGGAAAAGCCAATTATCCCGATCTATTATACACTGCATACACGTATTGAATTATCACACAGCACATTATAAATAGGGACAATTATCGTGCATGAAATTTTAGAGACCCATCGTAAATAGTCATCATTGGGACTGATAGATAAAGGCAACAAAAGGGGAGCCTTGGAAAATACAATCACATTATAACCAATAAAAGGAAATGCTTTTTGTTTTTAAGGCCGCTTTTTCAGCGTCAGTCCACAGAACAGTGAAGCAACCAAGTCAGCTTTCAACGGGAAGCGTCTAAGGCAGATGCTGATATTGGAGGCCAGAAGCATCTCAACCAGCATCCTCAGATGTGGCATCTGCTCTTGATGATGCTGTGGGGCTCTGTCCCACCGAGCGACCGGTGGAGGTCACAGACACTGGGTCACTGGACCGCAAACCATGCAACTCTGGACCAACCACACCACTAAATGTTTGTGGACCCAAATCTTTGTCTACATCATCCCTCTTAGAGATTTCTCTTGACTCTCCATAGACTTTCCTTCAATCCTCTCTAAAACAGTGTGTCTTTGAGCTACCCACTTTAACTTCTCTTGAGGAGGTCTTTCCTTCTTAACCCAACATTAAGGTTTGGTTTTTAAGCACGCTGGCTAGGTGACCCTTCCCACTGCAATGTGCTAATGAGCTGCAAACAGGGGCAGCAGTATGCTGGCCCCGCCCCTTCTGGATCAGTCAAGCTGCTGAGACCTGCAGTGTATTACTGTGTGCCACCTCCCCTCCGGGTCAGTCAAACTTCTGAGGCTTCACTGCGTTAGTGTGTGCTGCCGCCGGGGAATTGATTTCGGATAACCCTATTGGGTCTCAGCCAGGTCATGTGACCCAGGCCTAGCTCACTCCACCAATCGTGTGCAGGAAGGGAACAACTGACTGAAGTCACTGCTGACCTTGTACTTGCCAGTCCTGCCCAGTCCCAGAATGTCCTCTGTCAGAGCCCCATTTCTGTGGAATGGCTCCACTCACGTCACTCACCACAGGTCGGTGCATGCTCCCCACCAGCTCATCTCTCCATTCGGCTGGCCGACCCCCAAACTCAATGTAACTGCACCTCCATTGAGTTGAAGCGGTGGGACCTCAGACAGCCTGGCAAGTCACCAGCTGTGGCGGGAATCCTGAACCTTTATCCATTGCAATAATAGCACCGGGACTGTATGTTTGATTGGTTCTTATCACCTTAGTTTCTTCTTGGGACAAGAGAATTCATCTCCCTCTATTCGGGGCTCCCTACGCTGTGTTATGTTGAATTCTAAGTTGACCATCTCAGGGAGCCTCTGTAGCCAGCTGTTATTTATCCACCATCTTTGCTCCACCAAGGTTTGGTTTTTAAATATCACCCAAAAGCACATATGTGGAAGGCTTGGCGGCCACTAGCTAATGGTGCTATGTGCAAGACTATATGAACTTTAAGAGGAAAGGGCCTAGTGGGAAGAAGTGAGGTCAGTGGAGGTGTGGCCTCAAACAGGATATTGAGACTTTATTCTGCTTCTCAGTGACCATGGACTGAAGCCTCTGAAACCCTAAGCCCCAAATAAACCTTTCCTCCTTCAAGTTGATCAACTCATCCATTTTGCCCCAATGATACAAAGCCAGCTACCACACTAGGATTTTTAGGCAGTCCACTTCAACAAACAGTTTGCAATTTTACCCAGAGACCTATCAGCTGCCAGGTTGGTCTTCAGATCTTAATATTTGATGCTAAAAATGAGAATGTACTGAATTAAGAAATATTTTCAGGGGCTGGGGATTTAGCTCAGCAGCATAAGCACCTGCCTGGCAAGCATGAGTTCATGAGTTCAATCCCTGGTACCAGAAAAAAAAAATCTGCACAACTTTAAAAGTGAAAATGGTTAACTGACACTTTTGCTTTGTGAATGTGTTATGGAATACATCTCACATCCCATGATTTAGAAGACTTGGTGGCTCTGTCTGCCAAAACCAGTAAAGTAATGTCCCCTTCATGGACATTAAACAGCCCTTTCTTCAATGCAGCGTATCTGAATTATGAGACTTGCAGAGATGCCATCCAGGAGAAATGGCTATGTACCGATAACAGGTTGATGAGTGGTGTTTGACTTATTAGAACACTTTGTCAGCTTCTGAGTGTGGATTTTAAAAAGCAATTTAGAGGAAAATTCATAATTATTTGCTTTCGGTGTGAAATTATTAATGTTGAGTACCTAAGGCAATACATGGAGCTTGTTAGCTCTCTCAAGTGACAACTTTCATGAATTACCTAGTACTTGGTTACCCCCATTCTCCTAAATGCAATCCCATTCCTTCAACTCAAACCTAGTTGTCCAGCAAGAGGTAACCTCGAGAGAGTTGGTTTGAATATATTTCCTGGGGTCTTGGGAACACCTGTGAATTAAGGCCCTGCCTGCAAGTTTACTGGCTCTGTAGAGTTTAAGGAGTACTTTCTAGTAGTAATTATAATCCAAATACTGTATTTCACACATCAGAGGACTGATCAAGTGCATCCCATAAAATGATGACGGCATATCAGGTCTCTGAGCCCCATATTCCCTTCCCCCAAGGAGCAGAATATAGAAGGACATGGTACCTGTTCTTTATTTTTTAATGAAGCTATCATAGATAAGTAAAAATTATATAAATGTATGATATACATGACATTTGGCTAGAGGTATACATTTTGAAATGGGTATATCAAGCTAATTGACCTCCATCTTCTGACATATTTATTTTTTGTGTCTAGAACATCTTGGAAGTTTAAAAAACCATAGTATGTTATTCCTAATGCATAATAACCATGTTACACCAAAGATGCCTTGAACTTGTTTCTCCAGTCCAACTCGTACCTTTTGACCAACACTGTTCCTGAGCCTCATCACCTGGCAACCACATTCTACACTCTGTGTGGTAAGAGTTCCAGGGCTGAAAGCTGTGAACGTCTTTGCTAAGTCATGAGGGTTGGAGGACAGGGCTAGTCATGAGGGCTGATGGGTAAGTAATGTTAGCTACCTCATAGCAATGTCTGTAACTGCTGGGAATGTTGGTGTTTCCTGATGTCTCACGGACTGTTGGTACTGAAACTAGAGAATAATTGTGCCACACAGGAATATTCACAGAGTATGGAAGAACTCAAAGGGGAAAGAGAAAGAGAGAGCCAGGTATGACTTTCCTGAGAGGTATGGTGGCAACAAATAAAAGTCAGGCAAATGTTTTATCCAGGAAGATTTAAAGTAGAATTTTGCAGAAAGTTATTCCTTGGTGATATGAATAGGCTGCAGTGAAGAACCCAACCAAGGGAGTAAGATGAAGGTCAACAGGTGTGTTAGTCAACCTTCCATTCCTATGACAAACTACCTGGCACAAACTAATTGAAAGAAAGGGAGGGTTATTTGAGGGTCACTGTTTCAGAGATTTCAGGCCATGACTGGCTGGCTTCAAGGCAGAAATATCATGCCAGAAGAAAGATTTTCACACCATGGAAACCTGGACAGAAAAAGAAGGGGAGGAAAATAGCAGAGGAGGGAGAAAGGGAGAGAAGGAAGGAAAAATGGAAACTAAAAGAGGGGGGAGGATAGAAGGGGGAGAAAACAGAAGAAGAAGGAGAAGAGATAGAGGACAGAGGAGAAAAGGAAAAGGAGAGAAAGTGAAAAGAGGAGGAGAGAAAGAAGGGGATGAAGGAGAATGGAAGAGGAGGACAGGGGAGGAGGAAGAGGAAGAGATGGAGGAGAGGTAAAAGAGGAAGAGGATCAGGCATAAAAAGAAGCAGGACAGGAGGAAGGGAAAGAGGACAAAGAAGAGAAAGAAGAAGAGGAAGAGGAGACAGGAAGAAAAAGAGGAGAAGGAAGAACAGGAAGGGGAAGAAGAGGAGGAAGAAAGGGAGGAGGAGGAGGGAGACAGGCAGATGATGGTGGGATGGTTTCTGCTCCCACGTTTATTCCATCCACTTTGCTGGCTGAGACCTTCACATTCAGAGCAGGGCCCCCCTTCAGCTTACTGTCCTTTATTCCCCTCATCCCTGGAAGCACCCCAACATTCACAGCTACAACTGTGCTCTATGAATTTCCTTGATGTTTCTCAGAATCAGTTGACAGTCAAGATGGGTCATCAAGCCAGAGGAAGACCATGAGACCAGCTGGACCCAGGGAGTAGCCAGCTCCACCTCAACAGGTGCTGAGTGTGTAAGAGGGGTCTTCAGGTGCTCACATTCCTTCACTGAATCTGTAACGAGGCATCTTTCCCTCCAATGGGGCTCAATTAATAATGGCCAAGTGAATTCTAAAATATAGCATCATTGAACAAAGTTGCACCTCTCAGTACAACTTTTTGAGCTCAGAAAGCTCAAAAAAAGAAAAAGAAAAATGTGTTTAGATATTCTTGTTAATGCTCAATTAGAATTAAGGACCTTTTGATTTTTCACATGGTCTGCATTCATAGAATTAATCTGCTGCACAGCCAACTTTTGTCTCTCCCTATATCCACCAGAAGTCCTTGAATTGATACCAATATGTTAACCAAAGCAAAAGTTCTCTATTGTACAACAGCAATGCATGGTAAAAGGGCAGGAAAAATTCATGTTTCCAATAACTTCTTTATGAACAAAGCAAAAGTATTACTTGTACAGTCATATTATTTTAGTAAACCATGTTATTTATTATTAATCAACTGCTGAATAGTGAAGGGTTGTGTTCCCCAAAGATTTTGATCAAAGTCTATACTTAGAGTCTACACCAATAAAAAAATAAATATGTTAGACAGAATAAGACATCCCCTAAATAAATATGTTAGACAGAATAAGACATCCCTAAAGACATCCCCATCTTAATACCAAGATCCTAAGATCTCTCTGGCAAAACAGACTTTGCCCAAGTGGTTAAAAGAACACTTTGGAAATGAGGAAAAAGTACCCTAGTTCTTCCCAGAGGCCCAAAGCTAACGGTTTCCCTAGTAAGATGAAACTGGTTTTTAAAAGGAATGTGATATACCTTGCAGAAAAATTATTCTCACAGGCACACAATGAGGAGATGGTAGATTAAAAAGTTTTTCAAAACAAAACAAAAAATGAGTCCAAAGAGAAGCCAATTAAAATAGTGTTAGCCATGACTTTCCAGTCTGGCTTTCACTTGTTCTCTGAGATAGGGGACTTGTGAATGGGCTGCATATGAGGTTGCTCTACAGAGAGTGATTTCCACACCTTCAATATTCATCTAGGCTTTCCCGCCAAACCAAGCTGCCTGGCGATCGCTGAGTCATAAAACTGATTTCTCCCATCTACTCTTGGGTCCTCAATCTTTGGCTTCCCCTTGTATTTTTGCCTTGCGCTGGTGAAGTCTTTGGGAATGACTCACACTGACAAATAGAAAGCTCGGTATCGATGGGATTTTGGCCAAGCCCATCACAGGGTGAGTTTCCTAGCAACTTGGAGAAAATCACAGATTTTTACCATATAAAGGGCTGGGGTGCCAAGCATCAGTCACACCTCCAGAAAGGAGGGTAGTTCAAAAGGTATTTCATTCAGAGAGATGACCAATTGGATAAAGACATGGGAATCAATGGTAGTGTTTCTAGGATGGAGACCAGATGACAGGGACATCATTCATTGAATAAGCATTTTCTGTAGTGGTAGGATACGTCACATGGAAATTTCTATACCACATAACTCTGTTTCACACACAAAATTATTTACAATACTATATAACATGACCTTTAGCCTATAGGTACAAAGTAGACATGAAACCCAAATAAACTTTGTGGTTAGACTTTGGCCTCCTCCCAAAGATATCTCATGGTTTACGTAAAACTAGATTTCAAAGGTCAAAAAACAAAATCTGAAATGTTCCTGGTTGTCACCAACTTGGATAAGGGAATCTCACCCTGTATAATCCAGAATCAAGACATTTATTTCCTTCCCGTTTCACAGAAGAAGAAACTGCTTTATGCTATACTTTTAAGTCCTTGAACCATTCTTTATTCATTTGCCAAACCTTAACACACACTGAACACTGCAGTGCTGGTCATTTACTGTTACAGATTTTAAAATCATATGACTGCTTTCTCCTGGATCCAATCACCTGGGCTTCGGCAACCCATTCATTCTCGTTCATGATGGAGCTTTTCAAAGTAATATTCTAACTACAGGACGAAGTTTCTGGAAAGAAACGAGTCTACTGGATGTTAAGTATGAGCTGGGCGAGATTTCTGGGGATGTCTGGTGGCTAAAACTCCCCCAGCACTAATAGATCAGGTCTCTAACTTGTTACTCTGGATCAGCCCCAAGGGGTGATGGGATATTCCCTAATTACATCACTTTGAATTTTTTTCTTTCTCTCTCTCTTTTAGAAAATCTTTCTCCAAGAAATAGTGCAATAGTGATTCTGCATCTAGATTTAGATCTTTGTTGTCACTTTTTTTGCATTCAATGAGAATTTTTATTTCAATTATCCACAAAGCAATATAATAATTCATAAAAACAGTAAATTTTAAGCTATCATTATTTATTTTTAAAAAGTATCTGTGTCTGAAGGCTGTTTTTGCCAACTTCCATTTTTGGTAAGGATTAAGTTCCACATTAAGACATTGAAGACAAAAGCTATTGGGAACCACTTCAAATATACAAAAATGGTTTGAGCGTTTTAACTGAATGGACCAGTTTCTTCTAATCACAGTCATATAATAAGAATAAAGCACTAACTTAATGTGTATTCATTTTAACTTGTTAATGTATTTTTAAATTGTCAAGAAATATATTATCACCTTTTGATAATTATCACTTTTGATTTGCCAGTGTCCTGTATGTCTCCCTTACCTTACCCTGAAGTACATCTTGCTGAAGAATTACGCACATGTTTAAAGAACAGCAGCCTGAGATGCAAAATAAGAACAGCTGTTGCCTCGTTGGAACAAACATTCCTGAGGGCCTAAGGAGTGCGAAGAATTTCAGCAGCAGTTCTTAGGAGACCACAGTTAGAGGTGAGGAGATAAAGTAGCAGAAGACAGGTTATGTGATTTGGTGCCACTGAAGATTACAGAGCAGCATTTAAAAGTAAACAAAAAGGGAGATGGGGTGGAATTTATGAAATAGGGACATTTATTGGCCCAGTAGAGGGTCACACACAAGAGGGATATAATAATGATCATCAATACCCAAGGAGTAATCGGACAGTGTTCACAGGCCCTGGGCTTAAAGAAACTTGATGAGCTCTATAAGAAAGAGACACCTGAAATACCTTAGGGGTGTGTCCCAGCCCTGGGGATGAAGGTTCTCACCGAGGTGCTGGGCCCCTTCTAAAGCAGGCACGAATATTTTATTGTAATTTAATAAAAGTGACAATCGTACAAACAAGTGAATTAAATGAAACTCCCCCAAAAGTTGTAAAAATGATTTTCATCAAAATCACCAACAGAAAAATGACAAAAATGGAACTCTTTACATAGATATTACGCTACATTTACTAAGCCTGTGAGATTGTAAACTGAAGTTGTATCTTAACGTTTGATTCTCTCTTATTTTTAATTTTAAACTAGGAAATAAACCCAGTGCCTTTACCCTCAGCTGCACCCAAATCCCTTTTACTTATTCATTTATTTTGTTTTACAAAATCTTGCTAAGTTGTCTAAGCTGTGCCAGAACTTGAGATCTTCGTGCCTCAGCTTCCCAAAGTGCTGGAATTAGAGGAACGCACCACTCTGCCGACTTCTTCTTTTTCTTTCTTTGTATTAAATGCATACTTGTAGACGGGCTGAATTTTCTCCTATTGGCCACGGAGGAGGTCAACAGTCTTTAAACTGCTGCGGCTTTAAGTGAAATTCTATTACAATGTGAAGCTAATTTACACAGCCAAAGTGCAGAGGGGCATTTGACTGCATCTTACAAAAGATGCTTCCATGCACAGTGGCTCAGCGGGTCCTCGGGGCAAACAGCAAAAGGGTGAAGGCTGTCAGGCCACTTTCAAGATGGGTGGGAACATTTCCTACAGTGATACTGACACTCAGATATGGTATCCTCCTCCTAAGCAATTCCTGTTGTACTCAGGGGTCCCAAGGAAAGCAGTAACACACAGGACACATCATTGATAGTATTGTTTATGACGGTCACCCAAGGAGTCACACACAGAGAAAGTGCAGGAAATCTGTCTACATACAAAAGACCTAGAAAATCCAGCTGAGGGCCTGGATCCCACAGCAATGTCCTGCATGATTTCAGGAAAAAAACCTAGAGCCCACGACAATGACCCAAGCAAGTCTATCTCACAGATCTGCACTAGGAAGGCCCAAAGGTCAGCAGTGGATGCTAGAAAGTGTGTGCCAGTGGGGTGATAAGGATCAAGGGTCCCCTGCACAGTACCACAGCCATCCCAGCCCCTTTTTAGGATATAAACAACTGATGCCCTTAGAGCTTATCAACTGACCGTAATTAACATTTTTGGTGACATGTACCAAGAGAGACCAGTATCTTCAAGATTACTTCCATCACACTAGCCACTACCTTCTCCTCATCTCCCTTCTCTTCCTTCTCCTCCTCCTCCTTATTCTTCTAATATATTTAGGAGGGCAAAGTGCAGATCATCACTAGTTTAAGTATAGAAACATTTCTTATGATAATGCAGAAAAGTGTAAAACAAATCTTTTAATTTTCTATTACGTAGTGTAGCTACATTATTCGGGTATATTTTGAGTACTTTAAGAAGATAAACACTTAGAAATATTAGATTGGATGGCTTTGCCTGGCATCATATTTATCTGTGAGTTAAAGTACACAGAACTAGAATGTAGTAGGATAAAACAATATCTGTCAATTTAGAATAAAAATGTCAGAGCCTAAAATGCAGAATTGGTCACACCACAGTGGAGGGTTTTAATCACAACACATTTTCCCTGTAGAAGGTTGCAAAGACTAAATGCTAATTATCTCCAATCAAATCTACTTCAATTCAATGGCTATTGTAATCTAGGTATAAAGCAGATGGGAAGCCCTCTTTCTAGACATGTGGTTAGGGATGAGCCAATTGCATATCAGCTGTGGCCGTCAACAGCATGCACAGAGATGCCATGGTAGATCCGTGCTCCTGAAACATAGTGGGAAGCAGCAGGGAGAAATGTAACATCTCCTTCCATCCACGATGTTAACGATGGCCATCTAATTAAGTAATTACATAGCATATGTAACATTTTTGCAGCTTGGCATTAATGCATCAAAAGGCTATAGGTTAGTTTAATGAAAAAGAATTTTCAGCTGGGCACTTAGCTCAATGGCAAGGCCCACTTGACTTTGGCCCCTCCAAAGGCTGCTATCTGAACCTAGAAAACCTGATCAGACTCAAAGAATGCTTTCTACAAAAGGTTCATCTTGCTTAAGAGATGCACATATTAAATGCAGAGAAGAGGTTTAGAAATCGCAGGTCTGGAAATTACGTTTGCACAAGAGCTGAAGGTACGTAAGATTTCATTCACTTATTTATCACTTATTTTTGTAGTTCTGCAATTGAACCCAGGGCCTCCTGCACGCTAGGCAAGTGTGTTAGGACTGAGCATCATCTATAACCCTTTTTTTTTTAATCCAGATGCCACGATGCAGATCATGCTGGTCTTGAACTCACGATCCTGCTGTCTCAGCCCTAGGAGTAGCTGGGCATACAAGCATGCACCACCAGGCCTGACAAGACAGACTCTTTCTACTAGTAAATTAACACCATCAACCCTTGGTATCTGCCAGTTGGTTCCATATCTGAAGATTCAGCTAAAACTATAGACTGGAAAAGAAAAAAAAAGATTTGTATGTATACTAAGCACGCACGGACTTTCACCCCTGCTATGATTCCCTGGACAATAAAGGGCAACAACTATTTACAGAGCTTTTGCATGACTTCAGGAATTGCATCTTATCTAGACCCAATTTAAAGCACACAGAAGGACATATGCTGGTTTTATGTAAAGGGAGGTCATTTTTCTATGAGGGACATGAACATGTGTGTATATTTATGTCTACAAGAGAAGAAGAATACATTAAAATCAACCCCCCACAGATACTTATGAAGGCTTATATTTTAAAACCAATGATAACACCTCCTACATGAATAGAATCTGAATATTCATAGGCAATTGGCCTTTGAAATCTGGATATTATTCATAAGGGATTGGCCAGCTAAATTTGAACAGTCATAGGTGACTGACCTTTGAAATTTAGATACTTGTAGGTTGTAGGGAGCAGCTCAGAATGGCTGCTGCTGCCCTGCCCCTCCCACCTGAGAGCATTTTGTGTGTCAGCCTACATTTCCCATGATCCTCCCCTTGCCTACAATGCACATGATGTGAGCAACTTCCTGCTTCAGCCTACATTTCCCATGATCCTCATGTCTGCCTACATCACCCATAATCCTCTCCTGCTTACATCATATATTCTGATATGACAATGACCTATCAGATAATACCCCGTGCCCTCTTCCTGCCTTTGGCCCGCCTCCACCCTATATAAGTTGTAGCCATTTTAAAAAATAAAGAGGTTTGAATGGAACCCCGCCAAGCCTCCATCTCCATCCCCTCTCCAGGCGAAGGCCCACGGATTGATTTGCGGTAAGGATCAGTAGGTGATTTGCCATATGTACAACCCTTTGTGTTGTTCCACCTGTGGACCAGGGCAGGCTGAGACTCCCATCTTGTGTGATCAGGAGGTACTGGAAGAGAGGGCTAAAGAAAAGTAGGTACCACCCTGGGGAGCAGGAAGTCTTCACCAACCTTTTTATCCTCCGCCCAACTGGTCAATTTAGACACAGAAGCAGTGACTCAGAAACTCCTAGATTGCAAGGCAATCACAATGCACAATTCGTCCCATGGATTTTGATGACACGGGCAGAGCTTCCAGCAGGTGACAACTTGAAGCCACACCCTGAAGGAACTACACGCACAGACACACCCACCATCTCTGGTGAGATTCTGGGTTTTTCCACACTCGATCAAACCTGCCTTAGGTAATTCCTTGCCCAGAAGCCTGCAGGATGGACAGAAATAAATCTCACAGGTGCCAATAATGTAAATGAGTCTCTGCCACACGTGCCTATGAGAGCTAAGCCCAGTGTTACAATCTCTAAGTGCATCCCAAGTCCTACAAATAGCTCATATTTACCCTTATTTATGGCAGAATAGTACTCCACTGTGTGTAAACACCACGTTTGCTTTATCCATCCATCTGCTGATGGATATAGAGGCTGCTTTCAAGGTTTAGCTATTGTGAGTGGTGCTGCTACAAACATGGGTGTGCATGGAGCACTGAAATATGATGCCTTTAACTCTTTTGGGGAGATACTTTGAAGAGGTAGAGCTGAGTCAAGTGGTCTTGCTATTTTCCACTTTTCACAGAATCTCCATATTTTTTTCCACAGTGGTTGTATTAGTATATGCTGCCACTAGCAATATGGAAGAGTTTCTTTTCCCCCCACAACTGCACCAGCATTTGCTTGTTGGTTTATTTTTTTAGTTCTTGATGACAGCCATCCTTTCCACCTCCCAGAGTGACACCATAATATTAGTGAATAAATCAGACTCAGTAGATTAATTATTGCATAGTTCACTTAGCATGAGAAACCCACAATATAAATAATTGCAAGAGTGAAATAAAAGGTAGATGATAGGAACAGGGTGGTAGACTTTGAGGAAGTGAGAAAGGGATTGGAGGGTTGGGGGAGACAAGAGAGGAAAAAGGTAAAAGGATTAAGATGTGATTGGTGGATCTGGGATTTAGCTCAAAAGCGTAAGCACCTGCGGGGCAAGCATTAAATTGTGAGTTCCATCCCCAGTACAATAATAATAATAATATTATTAATACGATGAAGAAGAAGAAGAAGAAGAAGAAGAAGAAGAAGAAGAAGAAGAGGAAGAAGAAGAAGCACTTGGTACATACATGACCCACTGTGTACTACTAGGTATAGCCCCTAAACGATTGAAACCATTGGAATCCAACATGGATCTGTATACCCACATATACAGCAGTATCATTCATGAATGTGGTTAGTATGAATCTCAAAATTATTTAAAAAAAGAGAAGAACTAAGCCTCCTGATTCTTTGCACAAATTCTGATAGGACAGATGTACATGGATCTGTACACCCACCAATACAGTAGTATCATTCATGACACACACAGGGATGGGTACTTGGGGTGGCCTGTGCATCGTGGTTGTCATGAATGATACTGCTGTATTGGTGTATTTGTTTAGGGGAAAGACATAAAGAGATGTGCACTGGGATGTGAACAAACCTCAGAAAGCAATGTGCTTAGCAAGGGAAGGGAAACACAAAAGATCACACAGTGTAGGATCTGTCCATAGGAAAGGTTCAGAAAAGGCAAAGCCACACAGGAAACAGAAAGCAGATGAGTTGTTTCCCACGAATGTGGGAATGAACGGAACTGTAATACTTGCTGAAGGGTAAAGGGCTGTTTGGGTGATTGAGGAAAATGTTTTGAAACTAGATGGGTGATGGTTGAGTGACACTGAGAATGCACTCGACTACCTCTAAATAAACACCTAAGGAGACTTCATTTTAGCCAGCCCAAGAACCCTTGTGTCATATCCTTCTCTTGACTGAGGTTGAAAACCTCAGCAACCAGCAGTGCATCACAAAAATAGGAAGATTTTGCACGTGGTCCTTAAGGTCCCTAATTGGTTGACTGTGTATTCATTATACAGGGAGAACATACAGGATGGACCTTATGTAATCAAGTGAGTGCTTGCCTTAGTTACTTTTGTTGTTACTGAGACAAAAAAAAAAAAAAAAACCCAGCGTCCAAAGTTAAGCTCATAGTTTGTAGAGGGTTCAGTCCATAATCTGCTGGGAGTGCACACTTCATTCTGTCCCTTATATCGTATGCAGGCTATCCACCACAGGGCAGGTGTAGCCTTCACACGCGTAATTCCAACAGTAGACCATAAATTAATCACACACTCTAGATTTAGCCAACTCTGAAAAGTCTGATCCCCCATAACTGCCTGAGGCTTTGGGGGGACATCCAAACACAAACCATAACAATGTTTGAAACACAAACTGAGGTAGAGGAAAGTATGTCCTTCTGGGCCTGATCTAGCAAAAAGTGTGAAATGCTTACATTGAAATGGGGTAGGTGTCAGGAAGATTCGGACTTCATGTACCGGAATAAGAAACTAAAATTCTGATGCAACCTGAATGATCTTGGAAGAGAACCTTCCTATGGTTAGAAGCCTGACTCCTATTTACGGCAACATTGTCAATGGTATTTTCAAACACCTATGTTTGTGCTAATTTGGAATTCAGTGATGGATAATGGCTACAGTATATGCCCTCATAGACAGATAGATGGATGGATGGATGGAGAGATAAATAGTTGGACAGATGACAGAATGGATGGGTGAACTGATGACAGCATGGATGGATGGATGGATGAATGGATGGATGGATGGATGGATGGATGGATGGATGGGTCACTGGATGGGTGGATGGATGGGTGGATGGATGGGTGGATGGATGGGTGGGTGGATGGATGGTTAGATGGATGGGAAGAAGAATAGATGGACAAATAATAGAACAGATGGATGGGTGGATCAATTGAAGACAAGATGGGTGGCCAGATGGATGGATTGAGAGATGGATGAATAGATGGACAGACATACAGATAAGAAAAGATAGATGGCTTGACTTATATTACTGATACTATGGAACATAACCAGAATGTCAATGTTTTCAAATGCAGAGGTGGCTTTCAAGTAGCTGTGATAGACAGGAGCTCCATATCATGTCCATCAGACTAATAAACAGTTTCCAACTTGTCTTCCGGGCAGATGTTCCTGCTCCCCAGCTTCTCTTTTGCAACCCCTCGCCCTTCTGCCACAAAAAGAATCCTCTTTCAAGAATGAGCCAGTGAGCAAGGCTGCCTTCTGACTCATGCAATATGCAGCATGCATGAGATCTGGGCACTCAGTCTGTCACCTCCCAGGGTAATTAATCAATGTGTTACTGCAATTAGAAGTTTATGGGACCCATCACAACCTGTGACTGTGATGACATAGCCAAGGATTATGTCAATCACGTCATCCCTGTGTGCAGGACAATAATGGCGGGCCAGAAACAAAACTCTGGCTCTGACATCCTCTGCAGGTATTTAGAGACACTTTGCGCCGAGTTTTCCCATCTGCAGAATGGAACCCATGAAAGTCCACCTCTCAGGGTGGACATGAAGAAAAAACTCAACGGAGCAGAAGAGAAGAAACTCCTCTCTTTAAACACACGTCATCACATGGGGTTACAGAAACGTGACTCTGCAAAAGCATTAGTCCAACTCTAGTGCTCAGCAGGAAAGATCGTGCGAACCCCAGGGGCACTTGGCAATCTCTGGAGACACCATTAGTTATCACAACTTGTGGGCAATGTCACTGGCTATCCAGTGAGTAGGAGCCAGCAGTGGTGCTAACCATACTACAAGGGAGACACAGGAAAATATGGCATCTAATGTCAATGAAGCTGAGTGGAAAAGCCTGCAGTAAGTCAAAACTCTATAACTCTTGACAAGTTGCTTCTCAGGCCAGTAATCCTCACCAGGGGTGAATTTACCTTCTGGAAACACTGAACAATATCTGGCTGTCTGTCAAAAGTCAACAACTGGCCACTGATAGCCCATTTGTGCCGCCAAGTACCCATAATGCACGAGGCCATATCATCCATGAGAAAACAATTATCCATTTCCAAATAGCCATTGTGAATAAACCTAGCCTAGATGCACAGTAATTATCCCTTATCTGAGTTGTCATTCCGGACAGTTTCAGTGACATGCAACCAACACACATTCTGGAAATAATAATATTTATTTTCACTCTTGCAGGAGAGAGGCCACATGCATATAACTTTTATATCATCATTAGAATCACTCCATGGCACTGTTTGTTATTGCAGGCAGTTGTTTACAATGACTAACTCATAAATCGAACATCGTGATGGCTATGCGCACACTGAAAAGGGAGCGTACAAAAGGGTATGTGTGGTCCTACCCCCAGTTTAAGGCACCTGAAGATCCTTAAACATATTCTTCATCATTAAGAAAGAGAATGACTATATGCTCACTCCAAGAAAATACCTTCTTCTTAATTCACTAAGTCAGAACTTAATTTTGTTTTGTTGTTAGCAGAATCTAGCCTTGCAAAAGCTGAGAGTGCACCAAGCAGAATCTAACACCCTGGTCAAAACTTTGCCACCTGTATGAACAGCTCTGTTGTGAAATCAAAAGAATGCTAGCATTGAGCAGAATGAATAAAGTCTGTTCAACCTTACAGTCACCTTATGTTTGATGGTTCTACACTAGATTTGGATATGAGCTGTCCCCAAAAAGCACATGGATTGAAGACTTGGGTCTCCAAAGCAACAATGCTCAGAAGAGGAGCTTCTCAGAAGTTATTGATCATATGGGCTGAGTTCATCCATGAATTAATCCAATGAATTAATCCAGTACATCGGGCTTATTAGGAAGTAGACTCCAGTAGGGTTCTCACAGTCCTTCCATACTTAAAGACACAGCTGCTTCTTGTCTGTTTCCAATTCAGTGCTTCCAAAGCAGGGGTAGTTTTACCATCCAAAAACCATTTAGCACAGTTGGAAGATTATTTTGGATGCAAGAGCAAAGCTGGCAGGTGGAGCTGCTAATGCTATCTACTGGTTGGGGCTCAAAGATGCTACTCAACATGCTACAGTGCCCAGGTCAGCCTTGCCACAGAAAATGATCCCACGCCCCCTGTGTCTACTACAGTGCACAGGCCGAGACACCTTGGTTTCACTCAAAGATCTATCTCGTGCATTTTAAACGCTTACTGTCTTCTTGGGCAATGGTTGTCCAACAGGAAGACCGTCCTACTGCCTAAGCTCATTTGGCAACACACGACGATTATTTTTGTTGTCGCAACTGGGAAGTGGGATAGAAAAGGCACCAGGCACTGTAAACATCCCACAGTGCTGAACAACCCCAACAGCAATGAATCAGCAAGACTCAAGGATCCACCTTGCTCAGCAGTCCAAAGACTCTTCAATAGAGAGCCTCCTGTGCGTGAGAATCACACAGTGTTGCTCCCATGTCTGGACTGGAAAATGCGCAATCCTGGAAATCACCCAAAGGGACCTAGGAACATGGGTCACCTCCATTCCATCTCCAGGCTTTCCAGGAATTTCCACTGTCCAGGGTGCTGCTCTTCATCAGCCCAGGGGCAGATCTCTGTTGCCTACTTCCTTCTCCTAAGAAGTGTGTGAGTATCACTGACCTTAGCACAGCATCTGTTACTAGGAGGGCTTGTTTTCCTTCTCAGAGAATGCTGGAGGCACGACTTGGCCTCTACTCACAGCATTCTCTGTTGTTTACACCCCAGGCATGCAAGGGAAGTACTTGAGGCCATGGCCTAGAGCCACAAGGGTTCCTCTCAAACAGGGCCAGAATGTAAAAGAGAAGATAAGATCAAAGCATCACTCTGAAAATAAAAAATTAAAATAAAAGATTCAAGATTGCCCTGGAGAACCTTTTTTTAAAAAAAGTATATTTCACTTTATTTTTTCAGTGCTGGGGATTGAACTCAAGGCCTTGCACATGCTAAGAATGCATTCTAACCACCAAGCTGGTGTTCCAACGCTGCTAAATTTTAATGCCTGTTTATTCACCTTAAAGGGCTAACGTAACATTTGTGGTGAAAATTTTGAATGCAAATGCAAGGAGATTGCTATTAATTTTTTTTTTACTTTATTCATTCAAGATAAGTTTTCAGACATCTGCATTCCAAGATCACAGTTGCTATTTTTTTTTTTTTTGGTTTTGTTTTGTTTTGCTTGTCTTTTTCGTTTTTTTTTTTTTTTTTTTTTAATCCGTACCACGGATCGAACTCATGACCAACTGCACACTTGCAAGGCAGGTGCTTATGCCACTGAGCTAAATCCCCAGCCCCTACAGCTGCTATGTAATAATGTCAGTATAAAGCACAAGGCAATTTCTCCACGGGCAAATACTAAGGCCACCCTACCTCCTGATTCCTAAGGATTTGTACCAACTCACATTGCGTGCTTACAGGGAAAAAAACACACGACATAAATGACTGCAAAATGGAGTGATCTTTCTATAAAGTAACTTCAACAGTCTTTTTTTATTTTCTGGTATCGGGGATTGAACTCAGGATCTCAGACTTGCCAGGCAGGCACTTATGCCGCTGAGCTAAATCCCCAGCCCCCAACTTCAACAGTCTTTGGGACATCATTTTTAACTAGATTTTTTTTAACACTGCTCTTTTAATCTGTAAGTGCTGGTGAGTCAGGGATAGGTGATACTGATGACTGAGTAAAAGTACTCCAGAGCTGGACACCTTAGCTCATAAGAACACTCCTACAGTGTCCTCATATAACCACCTGGAGGGCTTAATCTTGAAGGGGTTACATGCATTTCTTTGAGATGAAAAAAGGCATACATTCCGTTGGTTCATAGTTCATATTTTGCACGCATTTGACAGGTTAAATTGTTTGGGATGCTTCCTTCCTGTAATTAATGCAAATGTCCAAAAACAATAACTACTTTTAATTTTTTTTTAAAGATAGGGTCTTACTATGTGGTTCAGATGTGCCTTGCATGCATTCTGTAGCCCAGCCTGGCCTTGAAATCATAGCAATCCTGCCTCAGCCTCCAGAATGCTGGGATTTCAGGTGTGAACCACTATGCCGGGAAATAGCTTATTTCTAACCTACATAATCATTTCTCAAAAAGTCCAGTCCTTTTATAGAAATGATCTACAAATACAATCTTGAGCAACATAGCAATGAACAGCAAGGCATATCACAATCTAAAACAGGGCTGGGGATTTAGCTCAGTGGCATAAGTGGCTGCCCGGCAAGCACAAGGTCATGAGTTCAATCTCTGGTACCAAAAAAAAAAAAAAAAACCTAAAACAAAACTAATGAAGCCCACTAAATGACAACCAGATTCCACAGTTCGGATCCTAACAAATTTGGCAATGTATGGATGTCTCCTACATAAGCAGGCGTTCTGCTAGTTTAACTCCCAGCATGTGAATTCAGGTATTCAAGACAGATTTCGAATCTGCACACTTAGTCTAAAAAGAATTCAGAAATGAAAAGCAAAAACTAACAAGAAGATGGTATCACTGCTAATTGTAATCCCTTCTCACATTTAGTTTTCAAAACATCGATGAAAAGTAAAGTTAGCATAACCCCAGGCTCCCACGGGTTACAGTGGACAACACACATCTCTTCTATTTTCACTGTATCTAGGTCAGCAGCACTGGTTCTCGTATTTAATACCTAAGGTTAATCAATTTAACTTCTCCCCTGAATATGTTATACCACACTGTAACTTTTTATTTGATCATTTCCTTAAGTCTAAAGCTCTTTCTCTCTGTCTCTCTGTCTCTCTCTCTCTCCCTCCTTCTCTCTCTCTCTCTCCTTCTCATTCTCCCTCTCTCTCTGTCTTCAGTTTACATTTTCAATTCCCTGCTTCAGTGCAGAAAAGAACAAAGAATGTTTGGCAAATGCTTTCTTCTACCTAAAGATGATCTTGGTTCAGGGCAGAGGACCAAATAAAAAACCCACTAGATAAAGTGTAGAAAGCATTTTTCCAGGTATGTCTGGGTTCACCTCCCAGAGCTAAGAAGTAGCTCTTACCCCAGCTGCTAGTTTGCTACTGCAAAACAGAAAGGAGTAAAACCTTTAGATTTGTTTTGACACCATCAGCTCAGATAGACCTCCTCAGTCGGTGTTTTCTGTCCCATCTCAGTATCTGACCTGCTGAGAAGCAAAACAGTAATACCAATGATCCCACTCACCAGTCCTTGTATAGCTTTGAGACGGGGCTGTTCGCTGGGAGGCTAGGATACTCTTTTCCTTTTCTTCAGGAGCTTAGAAAGACGTCCCTTTGTCCCCTGGGCCAGCACCCTAGCCTGAAAGCTCCTGGGGTGTGGATAAGACCTGGAGAGTCAGGGCAGTTTTAACCAGCCATCGCGGCCAGCAGAGTCATCACTGGGTCATAGTTGCATCTATAATGAAAAAGTTATTTCAGCGCTTGTACACCCGCACTTGGCCCTCTCCTATGCCCCACATGCTTCAGATATCAATCAGAGATAAGTTCTCCTGCCAGAACCCAGTAATCACACTGCTAGATCTGCCTGTGCCGGTCCTGAATACTTTACCCTAATCTTTACTGACCTGGTGACTTTGTGACCTGGAAAAACACACAGACACACATTCACTTAGGAGCCTTCCCTGTTTGCAGTGGACTTCAGCAATTGTCAACATACATACAGCAAGGAAACAGAGTGCCATCCACCAATGAGGGAGAGCTTTACAATGGGAGGAGGATGGCATGATTTATTTTCTTTCTTTCTCTCTCTTTCTTTTGCTTTCTTCTTTCTTTCTTTTGTTCACTTGATCAAGAACAACCTTGGATGTAGCTTAGGGCGGTAACAAAGAGGATGCTGTTTGCAATCATCGGTCTGCAGTCTGAAGCAGCTAAGCCCAGCCAGCCTGCTTGCCCAGTGAGTTACGCATACAGGGCAGCACAAACAGCCCCCAGGAATTCATTCTGTGGGCCCACACCTTGGCGTTGAGCAACGCCAGGGCTCCCATGCTGACTCTGGGGAGCGGAGAGGGGAGGTGTCTTAGAAACGTTGAGGAAATATAGAAGGAGGGCACCCCCCCCCCTCCAGCCTCACACCTGCAGGAAAATCAGAGCCCAGGACAAACTCACTCTCCGCCTGTTGATTTATGTACTCTCGCCCGCCCTTTCTGTGTCAGCTGATGATTTCATGAAGATGTACAAATAAAAAGAAAAAGAGAACAAAAGAAAAACAGACAGCCTAACTCTGCACTTTCGTTGCTATGACTCCTCTTTTACCAACAACACCGTGATTCTTTTTCATTATTGTGGGTGCCCCTGGTATGTGCAGGCACCCACATCATGAATGTGTAACGTAGCCACCATTAACCTCTGTCCCATTCTTCGTAGTGAGTACACTGAAGCCTGACATGTATTTGAACAGGAATTTGGATGATCCAGATATGCAGCCCCAAAACATCACCCAAAGGCAACATTTGACTTCCTAGGCTCTTCTCCATAGAATTTATTATTTCCAGAAATGTCTTACACCCACTAGCGGTCCAAATTCCAGCATGTCTCAAGAGATTGCTATGCACTGAATGCTTTAAGGTTCAAAATGAAATGTCTATAGCAATATCATATCTCTGCAGTTCTAATTCTCAGGAAAGATTTGTTCTTCTCCTCCCCCCTCCACTCCAGGGAGGGCATGGTTTGGGGAGCCCCAGGAGGGAGGGCTTGCAGAAACCAGCCTTAAGCCCTCTCCGCAGTCTCTCAGCCTCTGTGTTAATTGTAGCTCCGAGTCCCCCAGGGGCCAGGATGCAGCATAAGGTAAAGAATGAGAAAAAGATCAGAAAGTTCTGCGCTCTAATGCCTGGTCAGGAAATGCTTTCAGCAAAGCAGAAGCTGGCCCTTCCTTAGAGTGACATTTTCTTAGAAGTTACCCTGCGGCATTTCCCCCTGAGCAATTCCTGAGATACAAGCAGTTTCATCCCTCTCTCCCTGTCCTCACAGTGGTCCTTCTCAGCCACTAACCCTTTCCTCTTCCTCACCCTAGGACATCTTGCTGAACCAAAGTACACGGGGCTACAGGCCATGCCTCCCTTTAGACTCCATGCAGGCACAGCAGTCATCAGATCATGTACTTCTTTGACAGATTCTATACAAAACATTCCCCTAGCCCAGGATCCCGCATGATAGCTGCATCAGACCTAAGTGAAATACCAGGTCTTCTCTTGTTAGGTCCCCTCCCCCCACCAAACCCCCCTTCCCAGACAGCACAACCATCATGGCAAAAATTCAAAGCTGTGCCCTGATAATGCACACCCCCTTCTTCCCAGAAGCCCCTGTGGATTCTCCCTCCCAAAAGTTTCTGCCAAAGCTCATGCATGGAAGCTTTACCCAGTCCCTTACACTCTCATGAAATAAATCAGCTCACATAAGTCTCAGAGTCCTTCCCCCATCCAAGCCTATATCAGGCGGAACCTGCCCTTTGTCTGCAGAGAGCCGCCACAGCCTTCTTGGTGGTGACCCCCTCGTGCTCCCTCATTAAACTTTCTTATCTAGTGGCCTCCTCTCTTTTAATATTCTGCGCTGCTCTCGATTGAGAACGAAGTTTCCACTCAATCACCGTGCCCTAAAAAACACAAGATCAGATGGTAACTTGTCTGAGCCCCTCATGATAGCCTTGTGACTGGCCAGGGGGGAAGAGAATCACACAGCACCCACTGAAAAACGGGGGTAAGGAACTGGTGGTACAGAGATGTGTTCCCAAACTCCATCCTCCCTTCCTAAATAGCCCTCATGTAGGACCAAAGATCCACATAGGAGATTTCCTACATAGAATACTTTCACAGCACATCATTTCTTATGGACATAATATTTACTACTGAAAAGAAAACCTGGAACCCAGCTAGACCAGAATCTCATCTTGATTCTGATGCTTGCTACCCATGTGCTCTTAGAAATGTGGCTTAACCTCCTGGGGTACCAGCCTTCTTATCATAAGCAGGTAGAAGAATACATTCCCGGCGGGGTTACTGATTAGAAATAATGGTGTAAGTCTTCAGATCTGGCCAGGAAACAGATGCTACTTTTTTGGAAATTTTCAGAGTACAGAAAATGTTTGCTTTCAGGTGTTATGAAACACACTATGTTTTGAGACCTTCAAAAACAGGGGTTTTGATCTGCGAACCAGTGCGTGTGATCCAAGCATCTGCGTGTGGTGGAAACTATCCAACGGTTTGCATTTCCATGGTGGCAATGACCCTACCTAGGATCCAGCCTGCGTGCCTTTCTGATTTGAATTTTTACCCAGAAAGAGGCCCACATAGACATTGCTGATGGAAAATCCTAAAATCCTAAAATGCAATCCTTCTCGGCTCAGTAAGCAGAGGTTCGAGTCTCCAAGACCGACACGCAGCTAAGCCATAAGATAAGACCAAGAAGGCTTAGTAATTATGGCCCAGAATCAAGGAACAAACAGTGCCATGCAAATGAGGCAACCGTGATCAAAGCAAGAAGGGATTTAGGCAAGGGTTCTTCCCTTCCCATAGCAGGAAGAGGAAACCCAGGGCTGCAGAAGCCAATGGACAGATTCCTCGTGTGTGTCACCCACAGTGACACAAGCTCAGCAGGGAGGAGCACTCAACCATCCTCCACCAGGCCACGCACCTTCATCCTTGAGTTCAGAAATGGAAACACATCTGGCACAGTTTCCCAGAATGGTGCTCCCCAAAGAATCTCATCATGATGGGCTGTCCCGCCCCGAGTTCAAAGAAAAGGGGTCAACTGATAAGCAACAGAAACTTCTGAAGCCATGGGCACCACTTTTCTCTGTGTAAACTGATTTTCTCCAGTCTTTGCTATAACGAGGAGGAACTAACACAACATGCCGTGTTGTTCTATCTTGAGTCTTGGGACCGTCTTTGGTGATTACAAATCAAAGTTATGGTGTGGCACAGAGTAAAAAGCACATAGGAAAACCCCTCAGAGTTACTATTTCATGTCCTACATTTAATATGAGCGGAATCAGCTCAAAGAAAGAAGACGGAAAATTCTGAGTAGTTTGAGCCCAAATTCTTTCAGGTGTTTGTGAGTTTTAATGATTCTTTTTCCCCTTCGTCTTCTGAGCAGGGTTAATCACATTTGCTCCTTGATCAAGTACATCTCGGAGTCTGAAGTTATAGCTTTATTATTAAACCAAAAACTGAGTCCTAGTAAATTACTTTTCTTTCAATGGCATTCTAGTTTACTCCGGGAGGAAAAAGCCATGGAAATTAATTGCCTCTAATATTTTTTCAGAGCATTTTAAATAGCCCTAGGAAACTGAGCTGAAATATATGCTTTTTAAATGTTATTCCTTTCATATAAGTACCATAACAGCCAACACATATATTCAGTTGAAATGTGCCCACAAAAGCACAACAAAAATACATTCACTGTGCCTGTCTGATCTGTCTATTTTATTTAACCTGGTTTGCAACTCTCAAATCAATGCATTTGTGTATAAATACATACACATACCATATACACAAAAACTTTTCAGGTTTCTTATAACCACGTGCGTTTATCTACATACGGACCATCCCTGACATATTGTTATGGTCTACATCTAGCTGTCCCCCCAAACCCCTATTCGGTCCTAGTGTGGCTTTTGGGAGGTGTCTGGATCGTGTGTTTGTGATGAGTTTACAGCTCAATGTGATGTTGGAAGGTAAAGCCTGGTTGGAGGAGGTGGGTGTCTTAGTCACTTTTTATGGGTTGCTGGTACAAAATATTTGACACCCAAAATTAGGGAAGTAAAGGTTTATTTCTTACAGTTCTTGGAGGTTTCAGTCTATACTAGGCTGGCTCCAAGGCAGCATGGCAGGGGAGCCCTTCATGGTGGCTGAAAACAGCAAGGCACAAACCAGCAAAGGAGGCACATCTTCTTCCTGCCATTACATCATATCCTGGCTCCACCCCCGGGCAGGTAAAACATTTCCACCACCAATCCAAGCGCTAGACAATGAACCAATCACAAATGCTAGATTTGATCCAGTCTGTAATTCATGAGGCTTGGAGTCTCCTAATGTAAACCATGACAGTGGGTCACTGGCCGCGTGGCCTGGCAGGATCTAGCTCCCGCCTCCTCCCTTGATCCCTCTCTGCTGCTCACAGCCATCAGCTGCTCTTCTCTGCCATACTGTCCTGCATTGGAGCCAGCCAACCAAGGGGGTGAAACCTCTGCGAACAGTGTGCCCAAATGAAGCTCTCCTTAGAGTGGTGGGTATTGTGTCTCAAAGATGAGAAAACAACTGACACATGTGATAGATAAAGTTAAAATTTTTGCAGGTTTTATGTTGTTCTTCTTATGTTGCAATGGCCCAAAAGCAAGAGACCTTCTGGAAAAATTGTGCTTTGAAGACGGAGCTTTGGTCTTCTTCCAAAGGTGAGACACAGAGTACCATACTCTGACACACAATACTGGGCAGCTTCCAGCCCGCAGCTGCATGATTACAGGCGGAAGCAACCCACACTTTGCACGGTGGTATGTTGCAAGCATTATTTGGCATCCTGTGTCTTGTGTATTTATATCCCAGCATGACTACATACTGCGTGTCTGTGAGAGCACAGGAAATAGCCAATACTTTATTAGAAAATTGATTTTGCTCAATTGTTAATAACACACGTTCCCTCACTATGTTTAAGGCAAGTTCGAGTAAGCTATCGTGCTCAGCGGATTATGTGCAATGAATGTATTTTTTTCTTTTAATTTTTTCTGGGGGAAAATCAAACTCAAAACTTTGTACTTGGCAGGCAGGTGTTGTGCTGCTGGGCTAAATCTTCAGCCGCCCATGAGTGCATTTTTGACTTAAAATATTTTCAACTTGTAGGGGAAGTAGCAGGATAGAATTCTTTGAGCAAAACTATGAGAACTAAGTACACTAAGTTACATCTAATGCAAGCTGTTCTCAATTTCTTGATAGCACATACATTAATTTTTTAATACATACCATGTTCTATGGTGTGTATGGGCAAATAAATGTATTTAAATTAAATTATATGTAAGGCATTTTTTTTTTGAGAATTGAATCCAGAGTTCTTGCACTGAACGACAATTTTGTATTTCTTATTTTGAGACAGTCTCATAAATGTGCTAAACTTTCCAAGGCTGGGCTTGAACTTAAGATTCTTTTGCTGCATCCTACCAAGGGGATTAGGATTTTTTTTTCCTTAAATTCACTTATGTCCATTAAATATATATGCTACAACATGTGTGCTTTGGGACAGATAAATTTACATGCATCCATAGCCATTCTTAAAGTCTCAACTGTTTGAAGTGCTTAAAAAGGTTCTGAATCTGTGAATTTTTCAAGGCAAATCTGGGCTATTTCAGTGTGTTCCATGTTCTGTTGACGCGGCCACTTGCCCCCACACACACAACCCCAGATTCCTTCTGAGGGGTGACAGTTGATGGTGAGACCAAATTTGAAAATCAGAAAGGTTCCTCAGCATAAGACTTACCAAGTATTTCTAAAGTGGGTGTGAAGATCTCAGCTCAATGGGAAATTAATATATATTACTAATTTTTTTTCAAGAAGCCATCTGGTGGCCCCCAGTAAGGAGAGGAAAATTCCACCACCATAAACATGATCACAAGATCATGGGAGTTTTCACCTAACCTGTCCATAGAAGGGGATGGAACTCCTTCCGGGTTTGTGGTCTGGTTCAAACTGGATATTAAGGATGTGTAATTAGCTTTCTGCTCTTCCGCCCATAGGATTTGGGTTCAAGTGTAGTAAACAAGAAAACATTCCAGAACAAACTGCTTGAACCACCTGGTTGCTAGATCATTATCTGAACTACTGAAGGAAAAAAAAAGGTTCCTTCTTGCCGTTCATGTATAAGAGCTTTTGTTTTGTTTTGCTTTCTCCTTGCTGTTCTTTATGGGAGGTTTTGTTTTCCTTATAGTTTTTTGCCAACGCTGCTAGAATACATTTTCCTTTATTTGCACAATCAATATTGTATTTTACTCTCCTCCTACTTGCCTTTGCATGCTGCGGTTTGGAAGACCTACTACCAACAATATCAGAAAAAATTTTAAACATATAGGAAGACATAATAATAGCTCCGGAGGAAACAAAATTAACTAATGTTCCCCCTCTCTTCTGTGTATTTTCAGAGGTCTGTGCTAAGGCAGACTGCCTGATTTCTTGAAGCCAGCCCCATTTTCTTATTTCTGTATAAAGTATGCACTTCCTACTTTGCAAGCTTGTGGAGAAGAGGGAACCAGAGATCATTTCTAAGGAAGTCAGTATTTCCGGTACTACTTGTGAGCTGAAGGCTGTGATTGGTTATGAGGCAAGGAGAGAATTTTAACCACAATTGACCCATCATACTTTAATGCTGGAGACTTTAATTCAGCCCATGATCTTTGAGGTACTTCGAAAAACCTATGGCCCTGCTGCTTCAGGGCTGTAACCAGCCACCTGGGATCAGAGCCTTTCAGAGGAGCACGGAGCTCACTCGGAAGAAGGATGATGCCGGGCAGCTGTGCCCAAGCAAGTGACCAAGGAAGGAGGATTCAGCCCACAGATTGCAAAGCTCCTCTGCTTCCCAGCATCGAGGTGACAGAAAAGATCCCCAAATCTCCATTCGTCATGGCCATCATGGGCACCACTGCCCATAACAGATCCTAGAGGGAGGGAGGAAAGGGAGGGAGACCAGGAGTCGGGGAAGCATTGAGGAAGACAGGAAAAGACGAGAGCAGGAAGGAGAGGGAGTGGGTGGGAGAGAGAGGGAGCAAAGAGGGAAGCAGCTGCTCGGCCTCTGAAGCAATGCACAGGTGGTAGGAATTGCATGCCAAGGCCCTGAGTCCCTAGGCAAAGGCCCGAGTCTTAACCTAGCGAAGGAGAACCCCCAGGAGGCAGTGGGTGTTACACAGCACGGTTAGGGTTCAGCACCCGCCTCACTCATTCCCTCATATATTCAGAGTGTGCTCCGTCATCACAGAAAAAATTGAATGAAAAATATTGCCCCTGGGAAATAAGAAAGCTAGCAACCTGGTACCAAAAGTTTCTTGTCATGACCTCAAGTCTGCAGGTGATTATTTGTGAAGGCGTTTCTAATATCCTGTATCTCACTTGCTCAGGGTGAGTTTAAAACTTAAAGAGCAAAGCCAGGCGTGGTGGCGCACTCCTGGAATCCCAGCACTTGGGAGGCTGAGACAGGAAGATTGACATGAGTTCCAGGCCAGCCTAGGCTACAGAAGCCAGTTCAAGGCCAGCCTGCGCTACTCAGTAAGCCACTGTCTCAAAAATAAACAAATGAATAAAAATAAAACTTAAATAGCATGATGGAGCTCAGTGGGAGAGTGTTTGCCTAGCAGCCCTGAGACCCTGAATCTGAGCCACCCCCAGACTGAAAAAAAGAGACAGAGATACAGGTGGGGGAGAGGAAAGGAAAGAGTAGGAGGTAAGAAAGGGGATGATGAGAGGAGAGGAAAGCAGAGAACAGAAGAGAGGAGAGGGGAGGAGAGGGGAGGAGAGGGGAGGAGAGGGGAGGAGAGGAGAGGGGAGGGGAGGGGAGGAGAGGAGATAAGGGATGGAGAGGAGAGGAGAGGAGAGGGGATAGAGAGGAGAGGAGAGGAGAGGAGGGGAGGGGAGGGGAGAGAGGAGGGGAGGAGAGGAAAAGGGAGTGGAGGGGAGGGGAATGGAGGAGAGGAGAAGAGAAGGGAGGAGAGGGGAGGGGAGGGGAGGGGAGGAGAGGAGAAGAGATAAGGGATAGAGAGGAGAGGAGAGGAGATGGGATAGAGAGGAGAGGAGAGCAGAGGAGAGGAGAGGAGGGGAGGGGAGGGGAGGGGACAGGAGCACAGGGGACAAGAGGGCACGCTGGATAGAGAGGAGAAGAGAGAGGAGAGGTGAGGGGATAGAAAGGAGAAGAGAGGGATAGAGAGAAGAGAGGAGGGGAGTGGAGAGGAGGAGGATGGTCCTTTAGATTATACTCACATAGTAAAGAGAATCAAGAATGATGAACTCCTCCCCACCACCATGGCACCCCAAGCAGATGTTCCTAGACCGACCCCCTGAAAAATCAACCCCAGACGAAAAATGTGCTGAACCAGCTTGCACTGGTCCCACACCGCTCCCGGAGCACGCCAGCTTGGCACTGCAGGCTGGGCATACAGGCTCTCTTGCTTCTCTTTGTGGCTGACGGCCTAGCGTGGCTTGCTGTCATTTCTCCCTGCTTCCTGGAACAGCTTTCTACCACAAGCTGCCGGGCAGAGAAAAGTTTCCAAGTGCTCGCTGATGAACTTCAAAGATAACATGGGCGGGGAGCGGCTTAACCAGTACAAGAGAGGACAGATACACAGAGAAGCCAGAACCAAGGCAGGGAAAGTTGAGAGATCCAAAGGTGCCGGTCAGGTTAGGAGAGCCATCAAAATTCCCCTCAGGCCACACACGTCTCACTTTAAGTGTAGCATTAGAAAGGATGTAGCGTGATGTTAACATTCTTTGACATCACTGTACTTCAGTTTTCTGGATCTTCTCTCTTCCAGTTTAGAATCGTCAGAAAAACTATGCTATTGTGCTAAGGAGAAAACACAATTGGGGAAAACAATCTATGTCTTCGTGGGCAGGAATGCATCCTACTCCTGCGAAGGATCTGCCCATATTTGGCTGTGATGGGGAATCGTGAAAGGCTGCCTTAGTCATCGCTGGGATTACCTGCGAGACCTGCACATCTCAGAGCTGGGCAGGTTTGTGTGGGCTCATTGCAGGGCTGGCTCCAAAGAAACAGCATGGTGGAAGGGTCTGGCAGGGGACACCTGCTCACCTCATGGCAGCCAGGAAGCAGAGAGAAGAGGGAGGAGCTGGACAGGAAGGGGCCAGGGAAAAGATACAATCCCAAGGTGCACCCCAAGACCAGCCAGACACACATAGCACTGTGCTTTCCTAATCCCTTAGGCACCTCTCAGGCAGGGAAGATTAACCATGCACAAGGACTAAAGAATAACTTGTCACTTGCATACAAATCAGATCACGGGAACAGTATCACGCTTTTCCAATCCAGCTCATAACCAAGACACCTCATATATTCACGTTTGTTTTATTTATTTATTTATTTTTTTATTTTTGTCTTTTTCTTTTTTATCGGTACCGGGGATCGAACTCACGACGGCCTGCTTGCAAGGCAGGTACTTATGCCGCTGAGCTAAATCCCCAGCCCCTGTTTTATTTTTAAGAGAAGAGATGTCTTCCATCACATGCACGCAAGAGATATTTTGGCAGAATGTGGGAACCGAGCCTTCGCTACGGTGATGTGATTCAGGTTTTCATGTCTGTGGCGAGTCAAAGCCCAGGAGAACACTCTCTGTTCTCTCCTGAAACTGCCATGTGGTTTTGCATGTCAGCTGCAGTTAATTGAAATTCCCTTGCCAATACTTTGACTCCTGGCAAAGGGAGCAACGTGAATTCTCCCCCAAGAGTCCTCCCCTGAGCTGCAATGGATAAAATATGCAAGGGTAGCCCTCTCCAACTATCTCTAATCCTGGAAATCTGACGTCTCTATCATATCATTCACCTCCATGGATTCGCTTATTTCTGCAGCAAGTCTGTAGGAAGCTTTGAAAGTCAAGCAGCTTCCGATGTGCTTTCTCAGGCACCAGGCACCCTTGACATGGGTGTCAATTCCAGCACATAGGTGACCACTGTGACTTTTGTTTTTCATCTTGGCATCCCTTTTGGAACCTGTTTGTCTCACACATAAGCAAGGCTGTACTGTTTTGGAAGAAAGCAAAAAGAACTCTCTCATCATCCATGTATCCAGAGAACGGCAAAAAAACTGATAATGAGAATTCTAACGACATCAGCTAGAGGGTACCAGCATACTGTAAGAACCCCTGCAAATGTGTCTGGAATGAACCTGGTAGGATCCAAATGGATTCCCCAGAGAAGCACTGCTGGAATTCTCAGCTGCCAGCACCTCCAAACGTGACCTTTTGCGGTCTGTATGCTGAAGGGTGGTCTTTAGGATAACCCTAACTCAACATGACAGTGTTCTTAGACAATCAAGGCAAAGACAGGACTAGATACACGTTAAAGACAATCACACATCAGCAAAGGGCAGAGACCTGGAATAGATCATTTCAGACAGCCTTTCAGGAGAATTAATCCTGCAGTCATCTCACTCTAGGGCTTGTCCCCTCTACAAGTAGGAGCCAATCCCCTTTTTTTATTTAGGTCACTCAGTTTGGGGCATGTTGCTAACAGCAGGCTCAGTAAACTAATGTGGAACCGGCTAATGGCTGCACTGGGGTGACAGTTTCCTTACAAACTTGCTCACAAACTGTCTTCCTTAAGCTCCAGCATCTCTAATCACCGGGTGTGGTGGTGCACGCCTGCAATCCCAGCACTTGGGAGGCTGGAAAATAGTTTGCAAATGAGCCGAAGGCCAGCCTGAACTGCATAGTGAGACCCTGTCTCAAAAAAAAAAAAAAAAAAAAAAAAAAAAATCTATTGCAATGGCTCTAAAAAGCCCTAACTTTATCAAACACGTACTATGCCCTGAGACCAAGCACCTACCTTGCCTGTCTTTAAGAAGTTCATTTCACATGCGGAAAAACTGAGTCCCACAGCTGCCCCCTGGATCACAGACGCTAAGATGAATTTCTACACAACGCAAGGGTGTCTTCATCAGATCTCAGGGCCCTTAATCAGAAAATACACCCACAAAGCACCCGAGCCCCTGCAACTTCCTTACGCTAGCTTCTCCGAAGGTTGCACCTTTACGCTTAAAAGTTTGCAGGTTGTACTCTGGTAGGTGTGGAAAAGTGGGGAAAATGTTTTAAAGAATAAAAAGGGAGCGGCCAGAAAGATTCAGGAAACAAGGGTAGAGCACTTTGAAGACCGCAATCATTTCAGCTCTCTCCACTACCTTTGCAATCAGGTTGGCTCAACTCAGGGTACTTGAAGCTCAGGGGTGCAGACGCAGGCTAGCCACTGCGCATGCGCATGCGTAGCGAGACCTTCTCCCCCTCCCCCGCAGGTTTTGGTCCAGAGCTGCAGCGAAGCGGTGGGCAAAACGGAAATGGAAATTAGCCCGGAGCCTGGCGCCTGGGGCTTGGATGAACCATTCCTAGAGGTGACCGAGATCTTTTGGCTGCAAAATGGTGGCTCGTAGTGATGCCACTTTTGAACATCTTTGCGAACTCCTATCCACTCCATAACCCCCTTGCACCGCCCTCACGGTCGCCCTTTCCCAATTCATGAGAAAGGACTCGTTAGAAACCGGTCATCTATTGTTATCCAAAATGGAGTACAGGACTAGATTCTCCAAGGCACTTCGCTGAGCCGCACAGCAAGGAACATGAAAGGAAGGAGGGGTGTGGGGGTAAAACCCAGCAGACGCCTATTTGGCGCCTCCCGCGACTTATTTCTGCTCAGCTGTGGCTCCCACCAAAAACGGACCAAAACCCAACGACGCGCGTGCGTAGCTTCGCAGGGCACGCGCGGGAATACCAATGGCGAGGAGTGCGCGTGCGCAGCGCGTTGCGGGGGGGCGCACAGACAGACAACCGTGGAACGCGCATACGCCGCGCTGGGTAAAGTGCGCGTGCGCATATCAGGTTTGCGGAAGAACGGGCGAGTGCGTAGCGTCACTGTGGAAGACTGCGCGTGCGCAAAACTGTAGGGGCTGCGGGTGCGCGCGCCTCTTCCCCGCCCCCACCGCGGCAGAGCTCCGGCATCATGGCGGCGCCCGCGCCCGCGCCCCCGCCGCGGCGTGCCACTCACCTCATCTTTGACATGGACGGTCTGCTTCTGGGTGGGTAGTCCCCGGTGACGGCGTTCCCGGGAGGGCGCAAGATAGGGGATGTGGGCGTTCAGGACTGGGGGGCCGCGGAGGGGCGGCATTCCAGAGCGCTCGCGGTCCCATGTCCCCGCCGGCCGGTGGATGTGGCCTCCACGCGGCCCCGGCACCCGCTTCCAGTGGGGCCGGAGCGCTTGAGGGCGCTGTCCCCGGGGACCACCGTGCACTGCCGGGCACCAGTGCCGCCTCCTCCCCTTTTCCCCTCCCCTTTTTTCTCCCCCCAACTTTTCTCCGCGCTCACCGTGGTTCGCTCCTTTTCCGCCACCTCGGGGGACCACCGCGATCCGTGCACTGCCTTAGTTTCCCCAGCTGCAAAATACAGTCAGGGGTACCTGCCCGCTGGCTCCAAGGCTGCTGCAGGGGGCGGACGCGGGTTGCAGCATCCTTTGCTGAGAGGGTTCTTCTCAATTGACCTTATCATCCCTGCTGCAGACTTGGCCTCCCTCCTGGGAACGCAAGATTGGAAACATTGTCAGGGTCACAGCTGGACTCAGGAGGTGGGGTTACTGCCAAAGTAGGGAAGTCCGAGTGTTTGCAAAATTCAGCCCTGGAACAAGCCGCGAGCAGAATTCAGCCAGTCCTAGAAGGGCAGAAATTGAGAAACCCTTGCTTAGTTTTAGCCCAAAGGGCACCCCATCCCCAAACCTGCAGAGTCCAAATCTGCGTTGGAATCCAAGTGTCTGAAAGTTTGAGAAACACTGATCTCTACGGATTCCTAGTGATGTACCCCACAGCTCAATCACTTCTAGCAGGAAAGTACTTTACCAGAAAAGGGGATCCACGCAGAATTCAAAGAATTAAAGACACTCAGTTGAAAAACTCCTGAGACAACAGTGTTGATCTCGGCCCAAAGCCTCTACAGAATAAATGCTCCAAAACATATGTTCTAACGTCCGCTCTACTGGAAGGCTTCCTGAATCTATAAACAAGACTCCCTACTTTGTTTATAGACTGTTGACATGATTGTGATTGCTTCATCTCGTACAACCCAGCTAGGTAGGAGGAAATATTTTTACTTGACTAATTAAAAACAAAAGATTGCGACTCTAGGAGAGTTTGTAAAGATGTTTGTCCAAAGTCTAGCACTTAATGAGGAAGATAGTCTGGAAGTGATTGTAAACCCATTTAGTGCTAAGAATAAATGATCTGTTCATCTTAATTTGTGGATGTGACCTTGGACTCCAAGATCACATTTCCAAATTGTTCAGCTGTAATGAGACTTTTTTTTTTTTAATGGCACACAAAAACTAGACTCTTCTTTTCTTTTAAGGATACAGATAAAAACGGATTAATTCCCAAGCAGGAAAAAGAAATCCTCACAGAAATCACTCATTAGGAGGAGCAGTTAATGTGGGTACAAAATTTGAAATTTGAAAAGCTGCTGGGATTCATAAGCAGAGCTGGAGATGTGAATTTTCTTACTCAGGTGGGCAAGAAGTTTAATTGGCAAATAAATTTCTTAGTCACTGAAGAAGAGTCCAGATAACCTGCTCCCTGAGAGGTTCATGAATTTTAATGCAAACCAGGATGACTCATTACAAGTAAATTTTTCAAAGTTGTAGACGAGCTTGATGGAGAATCCTGACCCTGGGTTTCACACACCATGTAGCCAAGCCCTTGAGAGAGGAGCTTAACTGGCATTGAGTTTCTTAGGGGTCACTACCAGCCAGGGTCTTTTGGGCAGTTGAAGTAGGTTGGTTGGTTGATGAAGCAGGAAACTAATGTTAGCCATTTCCTCTCATCTTGTCCCAGAACTGATTCACGCTGTTTGGGGGGAAAAAAAAAAAAACCTTGCAAAAATATGACAGAAAACTATGGCCCTCTTTTTTTGTTTCCCTCTTCCCTCATTTTCTCTTATTTCTGCTTTCTTACCCCTTCGGCACCTGTGAATGGCTCAGATCTCACAGGACTTCCCCAGAAGTTTATCTTTGCATCCTCTGTGGCACAAGATGTCTCCTGTAAAACATAACTTTTTAAACACACACTGCTTTATTTTGTTTATTACTGACCAATGTGTGCCAGCGCCTTGGGGCCATCTCCGTTCAATGTATCTGTTCAGATAGCAGTTCAGATAGATCTGTTCAGATAGATTACCAGTTTCTAATGAGTTCTTTCTCAGCACCGACTCTTGCTTTGGAACTTTTATTACCTTTACTCAGGACACTGTGATGGCCAGTACAGCCCCAGGCCCCTGCATCTCTGGGAAGTGAAACTGCAAATAAAATAGTTTCACAGGGAAATACTTACATTCCAGGGAAAAGTGCATTAATCAGAGAAAAATGAGGAAGTAAAATGGGTATTTTAGCAGACCTGTTGAGGAAAATACTGGGCACTTCACAGTGCTTTGGAAATAGATGATGCCGGTAATTTTACTTTTAAACAGAAAAAACACTTTGGGATTCAGGGGTTTTTTCAGTCTTTGGGCTTGCGCCCAGAGTCTAACCCAAGGCCTCATACATTCTAGACTAGCATTTCTCCCTGAGCTCTACACCACCAACTTTTCAGTTTTTATTTTGGGACTGGGTCTTCCTAGGCTGCCCAGGCCAGCCTGGAAATAGTGATCTTCCTGCCTCAGCATCCTGAACGGCTGGGCTTACAGGGAGGTGCCACCTAACCCAGCTCAGAGTCATCTTTTTTTTTTTTTTTCTAAACTTCACACAAGGTATCAATTAACCAGCCGTGAATTCTCTGTTTTGTGCCTCAAGTGTCATTCAGAGAGTGGGAAAAGGGAACTGAAATTAAAAACAGTGACAAGATCTCAAAGGAAGAAGAAAGACGACAGATATGTCAATATCTGAATATCCAGACTGGAAAAATTAGCTAATCTGTATGTCACTGAAAGGACAAAAGACGGGCTATGTTTCTTTAAAAGAAGACCTTGGTCATCCAGAGTGAATATAAAAACCAAAAGCATTCAGATGAAATGGGTTTGATGTAGTTTAACCTGATGTTCCTGGAAATCTGTTATCTGGCCCACACTTAAGAAAATGCTGGAGTTTTTTCACCCCCGTTTTAAATAACTGAGTCTTCAAATCAGTATTTATGGTGTTAGCGTAGCTCTCCTTGAACTGAGTCATATTAGGTGTTCTGTCACCACATCTGATGAGTTGCTACCTTTAAATCTGGGGGCCATGAACCCTAATCAGTACCATAATGGCTATAGTGGGGTGGTGGATGGAGGTAGGATTCGTGTTTCATGAGCACTCAGAATTTGCAGTTTGGATACATGTCACCTGTGGTGTGCATCAGACTGTGTTTTCCGGGAGTCTGATACAGTTACTTAAAATCCTTTTAAAATCATCAGAAAGTAGAGGTGGCAGGGGGGTATAGCTCAGGGCTATTGTGCCTGGCTGGCAAGTGCAGGGTCCTGAGTTCCATAATAAGAAAAATCTGGGAGGGGAAATAATATTTGGAGTTTGGAGGTAGCTGAATACAGCATGGCAGTAATTGGCTGAGATTCTGTCTCAGCATCCTACGGTGGGGTAGAGCCCTGTTATCTGCCCCTCTGCTGGTGCGTGGCTGCCTTCTTGCCCAGTATGGGCGGTTGGGACAGGGTAGAAGAGCCTGCCACACCTCGCAGGTTGTGTGAGATGCCTCGAGGGCCCAGAGGCATGGCGTTGGCGTTGGACACGGTGCCCGGCCCTGAGAGGTTGAGTGGTGGGGCTGATGCGTCATCCTTCCACAGAAACCCACAGACATGTGTGCGTGAGCATGGTCCCCCACGAGCATCTTAACTTAGATTGGGCTATTGCTTTCAACCTGCAGACATCATAAAGTCAAAAACCCAAATAGTGTCGCTTTCTTAACATCAGCCAAGCCCTGGGTGAATTTTGGGAAGAGCAAGCGCCTGCGTTCTTTGAACCCCTGTGCTCCCTCTGAGGTTTAAGCGTGGAGATGAGGTATGCTCACATTAGTTAGTTCCAGTCACCTCGTCATTGTGCTGTTCAGTCCAGGCTGGGCTCTTGAGAATCTTGGCCTATCTGCTGGGCAGGCAAGTGCCAAAGAAGGCACTGAACGATCTTTCAGCCTGGGATCTTGCAGAAATGCTGGTAGAGGGCAACATGGTGACCACATGCTCTTGATTTTGGAGAAATCCCAGCCCCACACCAGCCTGTATCGTGGCACCTGGTCTGCAAATCAAGGCAGCAGCCCTGCTTGATTCCCAGTCTGCCTTTACTCTTGCTCTCCTGGTAACTAACTGTTCCCTTGTTTTTATTTTACCTGGATCAGTGAGATGGAGAGGCCAGACTTGGAACAGAGACATCCAGAGCGTCCTCTTGTTATAGACCAATCAATGAGGAGCAGAGTTGTTTCCCAAACTGGAAGGTTTGGGGTAGAGGACGAGCTTCTGTTTTATGTGAGTGAAAAGGCTTTGCCTACAGGGCTCGGTATCCTTGGGATTCTGTCTTCTCACAGACCAGGACCATTTCACCCTGAAGTGTGTGTGTTCCTCTAGTTAGCCGTTCGTGATCCAGGACCACCCTTCTTGTCTTTCCAGTGATCGAGAAAGGGTGAGACTGAAATGTCAGCAGATTTTAGAGTGCAGGTGTGAAATACTTGTCCTTCCTTTTCTTTGTCCCGGCTTCCTGTTCCTCTTGGTGTGGCTTTATTTGGAATCTGAACCACGCAAACTGGGTGGAATCAGAGGAGAGTGGTCATCACTTTCTTGTTTGTTATTTTTGGAACAAGTACTTTGTTCTTTTGTGTCCTTGAGAGGCTGGGTGGGAGAGGATTTTACTGGTCTCCTTTCTATGCTTGCTTGAGCTTTATTCTGATTCTTTTCCGTATCATTTGAGTATCAGTTACTCTGTCATTTGTCAGGGCTAGATGGAGATTTAAAGCAATTTGTACAAAGCAGTCTCCTTCTAGACACAGTCGTGTAAATTTCCTGGTTATGGTTACTTGTCAGGTCTTTCCATGAGATGCTCAAAAAGCGATGCGTGGTTTCTATGACTGGTGTCTCCTCCAAACTCCTATACTGAACCCTGATCCCCAGTCCAGGGGTGGTAAAAAGTACACAGCTTCTTTACGACAGCTGTGTCCTTGCAGATGGGAAGACTTTTCTCTTAAGAGAATCCTGTGGAACCTGTGTGTCCTGCCATGCCAGGGCCCAGCGAGGAGGTAGCAGCTGTGAAGTAGACAGGGTCCTGGCGCATTGATTGCAGCTTCCCCACCTGCAGAACTGTAAGCAATTCATTTCTGTTGTCTGCAGATGACCTAGTCTCAGACTCTTTATTGTAGCCGAAGCCTGATGTAAGACAACAGCCTGTATGTAGGCAGGAGGCAAGGGGGTGTACCTCACCGAGGTGAATTTGAATATAAAATTCCCAGCATCAAGTATAAGTGCTTACCAGTGAGAAGAAATGCAGCCTTTAACATGTCACAATCTTTTAGTGTTTTAATGCCAAGGAGATGGGGCTGTATTTGTGTTTTCATACCAGTATTTAAGGTAGAAAAGTGCCCCTTTCATTGCGAGTGATGATTTTCTTGGAAGGTAGTAACAGATGCGGTATGAGAGGTATGTTTTTTCGCCTGGTCTGTGCACAGGTGGGCTATCATACGAGCCCGCTGTGAGCAGAGTTTGCTGGGTAGATGTGTTGGTCTCTGCAGGACAGAAGACTACCAGAATTCCCATAGGAGAAGGGGACCTTTGTTTGGGGTCACGGTTCCAGTGGCTTCAGTCCGTGGTTGCCTTCCCCAGGGTGGGGCAGTGTAAGCTGTTCCCTTCTGGTGAACAGGAAGCAGAGAGACAAGAAGGCCAAGGGTGAGCTAGCCTCCTGTACGGGGTCCAGCTCCTCAAGATCCCACTATCTCCCGAAAGCCCTGTCAGGTGGGGACCAAGTCTTCAGCGCGAGAGCTTTGCCAGGGCACGTGAGATCTAGCCCATAACTTAGATCACTGCCTCCCTTCCCATGCTCTTTACTCTCTGCCCTCCCTCGGTGTAACCCACAATGACCACCAGCAGTGATCAAGTTTGGGGCTTTTGTTTGACATTGGGGGTGCAGGGTTGCCGCTGACACCCCTTGACTCTGTTTATTCTATGAGTTCTGGTACTTGGGCCAAGGCACACGCTCTCCTGTGCTTCATGACGTTCTGTTTAAAACCTAGTGCATCTGACACAGGCACCCAGACAGAGGAGGAGTAGAGCAACATCTGTGTGACTCCTCGGACCCCCTAGACTGCATAGTCTACATATGCAGGGAAAGCACAGATGCATTGGAGATTGCAGCAGACCTGGAGGCACAGGGCCAAGAGCTACACTCAACGCCCAGTGCCCCCTGAGTCACCGGACCCTCTGCTCACAGGCTGCAGAGGTTCTCTTCAGTGGGGACTTTGGAGTGGTCCGTGCCCTAGGCCAGCACCCTGCAGCCCACAGAACATCCTACCAAAGCAGGCATGTCTGTGTTGCTTTCA